GAAAAGTCTCTCTCCACGATGGAAAGTTCACAATTGAAATGATTCCCGACATATTCGGAGCTTTCAATAATCCTCCATCGAGGCATTATCGAAAAGCTTGGAAGGCAAACATAGCCCCTTGTGGGGAAGATGTTTCATTCCTGTTTATGTGGACGCTTATAATCAACAAGATCTTAGTCAAGGTGAGAGGTAAGGATCCTAACTTAAGCTAATGACCTAGCCATTATCATCTCTGGTAAATGTATAAACAACATTAGTGAAATTCTCGAGAGGACATTATATATTCACAACTGGATTTCCTCAATTTCGAGTTCGAGTCCGGATAAGTATGAGTTTAACTTGCTATAATATATAAACCGTAATTCACCGCTTCGGTGAGAGCCACGGTTGTTATATCTAAGCCAAAAGAAATCTGGATCATTTCAAATACCAGATCGTTTATCATAAGGATGAACTGACCATTTATGGAACAATTATTACTTTGCCATGCAAGAAAAGTTCGTGTCTTAAGTCTTTCGTAGACTTAGTTTGCATAATTATCTTTTAGTTATTTTTTGATTCATTTTAATATTCAAACATTTCAAAGTAGTGAACGCTTTATGAAATATTTTGTTCTCGCTTCCATTCTTCGCGATTAGTTAAGAGAAGATTTGTTCCCGTTTCGTTCTCTTTCAGAAAGGTCCCAACACTTTAGATCCCAAATTATTATTCGAGAGAAAATTCCTTAGACTTTTGATCCCGTTTAGTTCTTTTCCAAAGAATTTCGGAGACTTTGGTTCGCATTTTGTTCTCTTAGAAATGTTGCCGAAAGTATTGTTCGCATTTTGTTCTCTTTGGGGACGATCCACAAGGTTGTGTTCTTATATAGTTTCCATTGGGAACGTTATCGACAGTTTTATTCTCATTTTAGTTTTGGTTTTGAAGCGTTCTTAGGAATAAAACGATGATAACGATATTTAGTTTCGATCATACCTTTTATTCTCGGTCCCTGCAATAAACGAACGAAATTTCAAAAACCCTTATTTCGAAATAATTTTTGAAGTGGGATAGCCGGCTGTTTTAAAAGTTGCATTAAATTATAACTATTAGGTGTTAAGCTAAATGAAGCAAATGAAATTGGTCACCTAGTTGAAGGTCAAACTCAGTTTAATTAGTAAATATAGTGAAATGTCATAGTCTTATATCAAAAACATTTTTAAAGAGGGTTACGATCCTATAAGAAATCTTTATTCCCAAAACATTTTTATAGAAAGTTGCCACCTGCTTAGAAGTCAAGTTCAATTTAATTTGTTAATTTAATTAATTATTACAATATAGGTACCAACCACAAAAGCCTTAATACTATGTCTCCATTGGGAGATTTATTGAAAATTTAGTCCACTGAAAAGAAAAGATTTATTAGGACTCGTATTTGCTGACTAGGTTTTCATGATATGTCAGAGGCCCACGATTGGATTTTCGGTTCTCTCTTATGATGAAGAGAGTTGCTGTTATTTCCCGTTTTGATCATTGTTCTTAAAATGTTGATTTATGCTACTATATAAAGACTAGCTACGAAATCTAAGTCAGCTTTCAGACACGTCAAGTCTGCTCGTTCCAAGGCGAATGAGTTGAGAAGAGGGGCAAGAGTACAGATACCTCCGTACCGTCAATTCGTTTTAAGTTTTCTTGTCTCTTTGGATCTGTTCGTTGCTTCCCATTTAAAGAATCACGAACTTGAATTCAATAAAAGTTGACGCGTCTGGAAGCAAATAGAAAACACAAAAGACAATGCGAAAAAATTGCTTTCAAGAATTGACGTGTCTGAAAGGGGGGGGACTAAACGCCGAGAAAAAATAATTTTTAATGTGTCAGAAAACAGAAACACGAAAGTTTGACCAGTCTTGAATAAAAAATCAACCAAAAAGTCTTTTTAAATTTAATAAAATGAATGCAAGATCATAGCATGTTTTGTGTTTTTTCTTTTAAATAATTTCTTATCGACTTCGTATGCTTCTTGAGTTTAGAAGATTTTCTTTGTGGAGAAAAATTATATACATAAATATTCCAGTGCTTCGATTTTATTAGGTACATTTTTCTCGGTTCGTTGCTAAAATTTTTCTATGGCAAAAGTCGGGCTATTCCTAAAAAATTAAAAAAACTAAAACTCGTAGTAACTTTCTTCTAATCCTACTACTTCCAGTAATTAGCACCATGGTTTTAATTCTGAGAATAAAAACTACAATTTAATCGCTTCTTTGTCGTTTGTAATCGAAAACTACAATTACTTTACCAAATCGCCATTAAGCTTTCACTAAAACCATTCAATGCTTACTGGTCTTCACCATTTACGGGTATTTGCATAAATACTTTACAAAGCTAAGGATTACAAATGAATACGGTGACCATATTTATGAGAGCCGAATACGGCACAAAAAATAATTTTGCAAATTTTTTCCACACTGTTTTCCCTGAAACAGTATCCTTATAGTAACATCACTAATTTGTAGGATAACTTTCTCGAGATTTTTACTCCGTAAAATTTGTTAAAAAAATCGTTAATTTTTTTCATACAAAGTATGTATGTTCGACAAATTATTTATTTTTTTTTTTTTTAAAGAGAAGCAAATGAGCAGCACTATCCACTCGCACTTTATTATACCCAACTTTAATGAGTAACAAAACTGCAAACCATTTTTTTTTCTAAAGATTGAAATTTTGGTTAAACATTGCAGAATTAATTTTTATAGTTTTTTGCTCAAAGTTGGAAATTTGGTATTATATGGCTTTTGTTTCGAAAATATCTTTACTTTCATAAAATTAATAATAAACATTTAATAAACTAAGGAAAAATGGCCAAAACATACTAAAATGTCGAGTCCTAATTTCTATTTTGGCCACTGTATGTATTCCTCGGTTCGAATCACAGGCATTCAGATTAGAAAATAATAACTGTTTATAAAGAAAATTTCGATTATATACCAACTCGCTCATAGGCATGCCATTTTAATAAGCTGTTCGGAACACCGAATAGGGACAAATACAGGACATTGAAAGAAATACAGAAATATTTGGCGTCCCGTAAAAACTAAATAAATAACCAGCACAATGGGTCAAAAAAGAGGACTGTCCCGTGTAATAAAGGGCGGATGGTCACCGTACCTATGAACAATACGCATGTACAAACATACATATGTATGTATCTAACAATCTACCTGTGTTTTTAATCTTTTTTTTTATTTTAAAAATGTTACGCTACCACCGATGAACGACAGATATCAAAGAACGTCGCTCGTTCGCATTTGTAATTCGTTCCTTCATTCCTTCATAGTTGTTCCCATTATTCTCCGTTTGTTGTCACTGCTTTATTTTATTTATTGTCATTGGCTAAATATATGTATTATATGTATGTATGTGTTTGTTTGGTTGTTTATAAAATATTTGTTAGCCCGGTTGTTAGTTGCGTGCCGCTGTGCCGCTGTCAGAATGGCAATTTATTAAAAGACATACCGTCGTTTACATAGAACACTTGCTATTTATGTAGGACTATGTTTGTATGTACATTAGGCATTTGAATTTTTTCAAAATTAAAATACATGCCATACCTATGGGGGAGGATGAGGAATGATTTTAATTTTTAAGCAAAAAACAAAACCGACTTCAATTCTCATACGTACGTAACGTATACGCCATGTAGCCCATACAGAGTCAGCTAATAGGTTTATTCGCACGCCTTAACTTGAAAGTCATATTAGTTAAAAGTAATTAAATATTTCCGAATGAATGTTAAATTGGATTTTTTCTCAAATCATCGTCATCTTACAACTAATGGAATTTTTTGTTTTTCTTTTTTTGTAAGGAAAAAAATTTCACCGTTAATTGTTGAATATCAGTCATTCTGCATGCTGATTTTTATTTTTTTTTGATTTGGTGGCACACTCTTAAAACTTCACAGATATGCTGTATTTGATGCCAAATTTGATTGCCTCTAATATGAACATTCTATTTGAAAACTTTCCAAAGTTATTAAAAACAATTAAGTTACGTTGGGTTTTAATAATATATAATTCTCTCGTCTTAGGTATATTTAAATTTAGAAAAAAGTCATATCGTCGTTTAATGTACAAAACCGCGTATGTGTGGTAGCATGAATTATTTTGTAGAGAGTAGAAACACTCATATTTCTCTTTTATAACGCAATCGAATTTCCGGCTAGTATACTTCAGGAGCCAAGAGCTTCGGTGAGCAAATCCAAATTTTGGCAAGAAATGTCAGTTACGCGGTTTTGCAGAACGACGATACGCGTTTTGTACTTTAAACGACGATATGCCTAATGTAAACAGGTATGTATGTTTGAATGTACATATGTATGTAGCGGGTAGCAAATACATTTGGCATTTCGTTGTAAGGCTGCAGCGTGATTGACATTGATGAAGCGTTTATGGAGCTATACATTATTAGATGTGTACTCGTATTAAGAGGTCAAAATCATCCAGCAGCAAAAATTCTGAGAATTTAACAGCATTCGCTCTCAAAGAGACAAAATATCCACACAAGTACGACAACGCGAACTTTGCAAAAACTTGCAACCTTCGAAACAGCTGATCACTTCCACAATTGCCCCGATTTGATATTTTATACATTTGAGTACTTTTGGATAAGAAAAGCTTTTTTAAACTACAAATTAATTATATCGGAATGAATAAGTTAAAAAGTTTTCCAGCAGAAAATTGCAGCTCTCTATTACATTTGGCTCTCTCAATTTCCCCTACTTTGCAAGTTTTTTTGGGTACGAGAACGCAAAACCAGTGAATGCTTTGTAAAACTTTTGATAGTTTTGGGTACGAGTACACTCCTATTGCTACTGTAGCATATGTTTGTATTTTTGTTGTAGCTGTAAAAGGCTGCTCTACCACTATGAGTGACATTTATCGAAATTTCGCTGTCGTATAGTTTTTATTTTGTTTATGCTCACCGCTAACTAAAAATAACTTAAATTTTTCCTTTTCTTTATTTTATAGATATGTATGTATGTATGCTTGTACTATATGTACGTACTTAACAAGTGCGTAGGCGCTAGGAAAATCGATTTCGTAAATGTTTGAAAAGTGCCAGACTGTTGGACAGGTGCGACCTTGAGGTGAGTTTAAAAATTGATTGCTAAAAATAAGTATACTACTCCCATGGCGATATATATAATAATAATAATAATAATAATAATAATAATAATAATAATAATAACTTTATTTAGAAATTAGAATTTTCCATTAAAACAGCATTACATAGTTTGAATAATATAATTTCTCAATGAGGTTTGGAACTTAAACATAGTTTCTTGATTTTTAACATGTGAAGGAAGAGAGGTGAAAATTTGTATGCCCTTATAAAATAAAAACTTCTGACCACAGAATTTAATTGGCTTCGTTAAATAAATTTGGCTAGAATTTCTTAAATTTATGGTACGAACCAGATTCAACTGAAATCAATATGGCCTAATATGAAACATAAAAAAGGTACCGAAGTCAACACGTGTTGTCTAAATATTGCGATTGTAATGATTTTCCCATTATTTATCCCATATTTTTCGGCGAAAACAACTCGGGGGTTGCCTTTCCTGGCCAACTTCCCCGCAATGCGATTCCCTAGAATATTAATACGGAATGGTAACCCAATGAGTCTAACCGGGAAAATTCCCATGCCAAGTCGCGAGCAGTTTAACAGACATTCGACTGCAGAACCATCCACCGACACTTCCGTCAACAAGCTTCGACCTATCCGTGTAGAAATTCACCGGAGTCGTTTTGCAAGTACTGCTTCAAGTTCGCTTATTCCTAAAGGTGATGTGAGTGTCGAAAGAGCTCAAAAACCAGTATACTTACGCAGATTTCGGATAAAGTCGAAGCCTCAGAAGCCTTTCTTTTAACATTGCTTAAATTTGCAGTTGAAATTTTGAGAAAAAGTAAAAAGCAAAAAAAGGCAAAAATTTTAAGAAAATATCTAGAAGCTAAACAGGATTTTTCGGCTAAACCCAAATAAAAAAAGCTAAATCTAGCCGGAAAATAACTAAAACGGCAACACTGATCAGGATGTCTTGACATCGTTAATGACTATGCTTCCTCGGCGGCTGTTCCCTACAAACGACTGGATTTTACAGCAAGATAATGCTCCGTGTCAAGGGTACCAAACGATGCATCCAGGGTTGCCACTGACGAAAAAGAAAATATTTACCATCCATTTGAAAAAAATCTACCAAATCTGGGAAATATCTACCAATAACATTTTTATAATTATTTTTATCAAAAACCATAGTTTTGTTATTTTTTATTTATTTTAATTAAAACTATAGTTTTTAAATTTTTTTTTTTTAGTTATTTCAATAAGAATTAAAGTTGTTTTTAAGAACTTTTTATTTAACTGGTTATACGGTATTTGAGTCAAGAATGATAGAATACAAGATTGCGCCAATCGAGCTGAGAGCAACTGGCCGTGACCAGTGATCGGTGCAAGATTGAAGTTGCTAAAAATTGTGTTGAGTTTTAGCAATCTTTTTCCTTGGCAGTGTAAAGCAGTTCCTTCCATATCAGGATATTTTTCGAACATATTTTGTAAGATTTCTGCAATCTTGCGGAGGGCTGCCAGCTTTTCTTTTATCAAATCACGATGTAGTGAACAAATGCGGCACGTTCCAGAAACCGCTACTTGGGATTTGCCGATTTTGACAATTCTCAAGTAAAAGTAAACAACGCTTTACAAACTTTAGATGCACTGAAATTAGCTAATACTTTCACAAAAATCGCCGTTTTTTTTTAATTTGCGGTATTAGTTCTTTTTATAAATCATATATTTTGCAATTTAACACAATAAAACCACGTTTCCTGTCGAAAAAGTTGAATATTGAGAAAATTTACTATTTCACAGTTTATTTTATCCTCCCATTTTGCCAGTTGTCAGTGCCCAAAAACGCTAATATGTGGTAGATTTCAGACCTTGTGTGGTAGATGTGGTAGATGCTCAAAAAAGTGGCAGATATACCACAATGTGGTAGATGTCCGATCATTGGCCGTGACGTCAAAATATACCAAAATGAGGGAGCAAGACGAACTCGACAAGAAAAAGAGGAAGCATCGAATAAAAGGCAGTGCTGCCAAGTTTTAAATTTGAAAAAGCACCAAGTTTTTATTGGTGTATTTTACGGACTTTATATGAATACATAATTTTATTGTAAAGATTCCGATTCAAATTAATAAAAATCAATGTTTCTTGCACAACGGTCGATTTCTTCTGNATGATTGTTACTGTGCCATGATTTTGTTTAAATGTTTGTAAAATTGCTTACCACACTTACGATTGCTATAAATTTTGCTTCCATTTTTTTAAGATTTCCTAATTTGGTGTCTTCAGACTAAAAACAAAAGCACNTTGCCAGTTGTCAGTGCCCAAAAACGCTAATATGTGGTAGATTTCAGACCTTGTGTGGTAGATGTGGTAGATGCTCAAAAAAGTGGCAGATATACCACAATGTGGTAGATGTCCGATCATTGGCCGTGACGTCAAAATATACCAAAATGAGGGAGCAAGACGAACTCGACAAGAAAAAGAGGAAGCATCGAATAAAAGGCAGTGCTGCCAAGTTTTAAATTTGAAAAAGCACCAAGTTTTTATTGGTGTATTTTACGGACTTTATATGAATACATAATTTTATTGTAAAGATTCCGATTCAAATTAATAAAAATCAATGTTTCTTGCACAACGGTCGATTTCTTCTGGCATGATTGAAGGTGCTGGACATATTTCGTTGTCGCTTATGATTGTTACTGTGCCATGATTTTGTTTAAATGTTTGTAAAATTGCTTACCACACTTACGATTGCTATAAATTTTGCTTCCATTTTTTTAAGATTTCCTAATTTGGTGTCTTCAGACTAAAAACAAAAGCACTAAAAACGCACCAAGCACCAAACTCAAAAATTTTCGCGTTTTTCATACCCACTAAATTTGGCGCGAAAAGCGAATGTAAACAAAAGTATATTATGACGTCAGCGATTGGGTGGTTGCTGTCAAATCGACGAAGAGAGGGTTAGCGGTCCGCGAATGGCGCGACCTTTATTTTCTGGATCGTGTATTTGAGTCATATTATTGGCATATTCTCAGTTTCCTTCAACCAAAAGCGGGAGTAATGAAACTAAAGGCAACAATGAAACTTCATTATTTAGAAAACTTCAACTCGAGTTATTAAAGACAAAAACTGTGACTCAAAAAAGTGATTTTTTTTTTAATATTCGCAATATTTTTCGAGTAAAATTTTTGTATTGCTTTAACTAAATCCAAAAAATCGAGAATTCAAACTATATACAACATATAGAAAAATTCCAAAAATTTTCGTCAAAATTTCGAATTTTTTACTTTGAATTTTTAGAACAATTGAAGGTATGGAGTTTTAAAGCAAATACTATTTGAGTATAGCCAACAATGTGCTGCTTAAAATTCACGTTGATTTTTTTTATTTTGTTTCCATTAATAAAAAATGGTGTTGATTTATTTTTTTTGCGAACAATCATAGTGCGTAATTACATACCTGTCAATTTTTTAAAATATTTAGGCGATTAAAAGCTCCTCGGGATTCCAGTAAAATTAGTTTTGAATGGAGCGCGATATGTTCGCCTTATATCGATATACATTTATACGTATGTAATTATATAAAAAGTATGCAAAGAAAATTTATAATTTATAATATATTTAAAGATAACTACAAAAAATAAATCGGGAACGGAAAGTTCATCATAAATTTATCAAAATGGGAAAAAATTTACTTTCATACCAACCCAAATTTTGTCTACCAATTTTGGTAACAATTTACCAAAGTGGTAACCCTGGATGCATCGATGTTTTACTGAACGATAAATCGGCGAGAAAAAAAATATGTACATACAACGATATGACTCTTTCATTCCGTTCACTTTTTTATTTATTTATTCTGTTATTAGTCAATGAAAACAAAAATTCTTACTGACTAGTACGACTAAACTTAAGTTACTTATTTAAAATGATTGCTTTAACATAAAGTTACCAAGCCTCTTGGAACCGAGATATCCAAAGAATTACATTGATTTAATTCAATTATTAATGGCACATTAAAAAATAATACGACTTAACAATTGGAATGTAAAATATATTCACATGCCGATTGACAAGCGGCTACAGATAGTCAAATGCCAATTCGGGTCTTCTACAATAGAAAAATCACTTTCAAATTTGTCAAAAGGCAGCCAAAAATTACGATATTAACGATCGTAGGTGAAAGAAGGATTTTCAAGCATCCTTCTGGCACCAAAACAATTTTGAGGTCTCAGTTTGTCTTCTTCGAGGGTTTTCATTTATGAGAGCGTGAACTCAATATTATTTTTGTATGCACATTAGACTGGGCCGCGAAAATAATTATTGCAAGTATCCCCATTAATAAAATTACGCCTTAGTAAGCGATGCATTTTTTTTCGTTGGAATCGTAACAATAAACTAATTATGGTAAATATCTGTCCAACGATATAGCACACTATGAAATCGGTTCATAAACAAAAAAGTAGGGAAGAAATTTAAATTTTCGCTGTTTTTAGGACTCGCGAAGGCCGACCATTATTATAAGCCCAAAATCATCTGAAAGTAAAATTTCTAACTAGGGTAAGATGTGTTATGAGAAGTGCAAATTTTTTTTGGTTTGGAAACCAAACATACTTATTAAATACACATGTAGACACATTAAAAATTTCGATTAACATTTTCCAAATTGTACACACAAAATGCCATAACATCAATTATGCACAAAGAACCTGTTTAAACCTAAGCGAATTTTAAATATTTGAAACTACATTTATGTATAGGTATGTATCTATGTGTACCCATAAATTTGTGCAATAAGCTTAAAGTTTTATAGTTTCACGCCTGTCATTGGCTTTGTACACGTAACATGTGTTTCATTTTTCGATTTTTATCACTTCATTTACCGAATGGTGAATGGAAATGAACCAGAAAATTGTTCGTGAAACTGTTAATGAAAGTGCTATGTTGGCAATTAATTTCATTATTATACGCAGTAATTGCAATTTATTATAGTATGCAGGTAGGTCAGTTGAATTTTCCGACATTA